GATGATTAGTCACTGATAGAGAAGTTTGACTGGAAATGGAGGTGTGTAATGATGCTTCAAACAGTCAGGAGGTGCTAGCCGCGACACTTCAGCTAAACGCACACATATGCCCACCCTCGCACTTTCAATTACAAGCAGGAAGGCCTCTTTTCAGCTTTTAAGTGTTTTCTGCCAGAGCTTTAAGCAGGGGTAGGGATGATACATTACTTTGTTTTTCAGGACTCTGCCGCACCCTGGTGGTGTGGTGCACAAAATACGCTTTGGAACACTGTGAAAATGCTGAGTTCCACACAATTTCATGTTGTCCCAACACAAATCGACGAAGTTAACTGCAAATATAAGTGGATTCAACATAAAACAGTTAGGTTGTCCTAAAAACAACTTGAGATTTGTGTTGATTCAAATCGTTTTAAATAAGTAGTTTGAACAAGCAGAACAAAAGTAATGTTTTGAGTGTGGCTGAGGTGGGTATAGGCTGTTTGTTTTGTTTGTTTTAACTTTGTTGTCCGTTCTGCTTGGCACAGAGAAAAATTTTGTCTTTCACATTGGATTTAAGACAACAACTGCAGATCCAACCATACAACAATCACACAATAGCAACACTCATCAAGACACCAACACAAGTTAAAAACATCATTCTTGACAACCACCCCAACAAATATATATAGCATTAGATAAATGACATTTTATAAGGAATTTTAAACCCGCGTCCTGATGGTAACCTTTCAAAAGCTGAGTGAAGGGGATGTGCATTATTTTTAAAGAACGCAGTTGCTGTTCTTTCCATAAAGGAGTCAAATAGAATCTGCAGTGTTGTTTGTAATCAGTTATCTTATTTGCTTGATTGATCATTTGCGATAATTTCTTCTTCTGTTTAAGTGTTACCAAACCATGAAACAATATTATATGTGAGAACCCTCGCTATTAATGATCTATATGCCATGTTTAAAGTCTTTGAACTAACATTAAAACCTTTCAACTTGTGGAGGAGACTGAGGCAAAGTCATAATTGTGCCTTATTACTTAAAATTTGAGACCTGCTCTACTATTTTTTTCTATTTATGATGACAATCTAGTATCTACTGCTTTTGTTTGACTCCCCAGACATAGCTCTTTTGTTTTTCCAATATTGAGAGGTAAAGAACTTTTGCCAAACCAATCTGTGATACTATTAATATATTTAAAATATAAGGAACTGTTCATTTCTTCCTGACAGGAAATCAATGTCAGATTATTGGCATATTTTATAAGATCAAGATTATCATCATTATTGCTCTGCCGTTCATTAATATATAGAAAATAAAATAGGGGATAATACACATCCCTGAGGTACCCCTATATTTAAAACAGAGGTTGAACAGTATTAAAGGCAGCTAAGAAATCCATAAAGAGTAGAACATATGTATTTGGCCTGTCTAGATGATGTTGAACTTTATTTAAGAGAGTAAAAAAGGCATCCATAGTGCTCCAGTTGGCCTTATAGGCAAACTGCAGGGGATCTATTGTCCTCTCAACTTGAGAGAGCAATTCCTTACACCAGGGGTGTCCACACTCGGTCCTGGAGGGCTGCTGTCCTGGAGACTTTAGCTCCAACCCTAATCAAACACAACTAAACCAGCTAATCAAGCTCTTACTAGATAGACTAAACCTCCGGACAGGAGTGTTGAAGCAAGTTGGAGCTAAACGTAGCAGGACAGCAGCCCTCCAGGACCGAGTTAGGACACCCCTGCCTTACACAGTGCTCCATACATTTACAAAGAACAGATGTGAGTGTTTGAATGGAAATCATTTAACAATTGTTGTGGACATACTACATTGTAGGTTATTCTAGACAAACTACATCCACCATATTGTCATGTGATCTATCAGTGTCTTTATTGCTATTCACTAATCCTCTACTGTAGCCTTATTAAGTGTCCATTGTTGGTGCACTTTATAATCACTAGATAGAGAAAGTACAGTAGGTCATCTCTTTTACCAATACTGTAAATTCTTGGATATATTTAGTTTTCTAATGCACTTAAAACAAATTCTAAATTTGATACTTTCAAAAATATAAAATCCATTTTAAATATTACATTTTGTTGAATGAATGTTTAAGGTGTAAATTAATTAATTACAAAATCCCTGATAAAATCTTTAAATGCCTGGAAAACATGCTTACAAACACCGGAATTTGAGTATTATTAACTTCATATTAATTACTTTCTTCATATAGAATAAAATTTAGACGTTTTACTCATAACATTCATTCATTCATTTTCCTTCGGTTTAATCTCTATTTTAGAGGTCGCCACAGCAGAAAGAACCGCCAACTATCCTGGCATAAGTTTTACGCAGCAACTCCATGGCCCAGCTGGGACTCAAACCAGAGACCTTCTTGTTGTGAGGCAACAGTGTAACCACTGAACCACCGTGCCACCCCTTACTCACAACATTGACTCAATTTTCCTCATCTTTACTTTGATTTAGGGATTTATTTATTTATTTTTTCCCCACGTCTCAAGATTCAACAAGCTATTCAGTTTTCTTGAAATTTTATTAGTTGATCATTTAGTTTGGAAATGGAACCAAAAAATAATATTTATGATTTACTTAACAAATATCAAGTTTAAATATAGATATTTAAATGTATACATTTACTCACACTTTGTTTTAAGTATCATTCATTAATTTTCTTTTCGACTAAGTCCCTTTATTAATCTGGGGTCGCCACAGACACAGCAAATTAAGCTTTATTGCATAAAAAAATGAAGTGAAGAATTATAGTGTCCCTATTACCCTCAAAAAATCAAAAAGCTGTACACGCCAGCGTATATCAATGTATTCCTGTGATATTGTTCATATCTCCCCCCTTGTCTTTGACATTTTCTTTGCATTTCTTGATGTTATTCAATAAAATAAAATAATAATAAAAAATAATAATGTATAATTTGTTTATAATTAGCATTCGCTCCATTTTGATTCAATGTCCAATTTAAAACATTTGGACAACAGTAAAAACATTAAAACTACATTTGTAAAATGGCAGGTGTGCTGCACGGTGGTGCAGTGGGGAGCACAATCGCCTCAGTCGAAGGTCGCTGGGTCAGTTGGCGTTTCTGTGTGGAGTTTGCATGTTCTTCCCGTGTGACTTTTCTTATGGGTGCTCCGGTTTTCCCCAAAGTCTAACTACATGCGGTACATGTGAATTAGGTAGGCTAAATTGTTTGTGTATGAGTGTAAATGAGAGTGCGTGGACGTTTCACAGTGATGGAAGGGCATCCACTGTATAAAACATTTGCTGGATAAGTTGGCGGTACATTCCGCGGCGGTGAACCCAGATTAATAAAGGGACTAAGCCGAAAAGAAAATGAATGAATGAAAATGGCAGGTGCATCGCGCTAAATTAACCTATATTATTTATTTATTTATTGGGGAAAAGCACTCTGCTGTCCTCTACTGGTGACTATCAATGTAATTCAAACACATCTCGCACATAAAACCACAAAATATATTTCCTTTGATAAAATATACTTTTTTTATTTCAGCAAAATTTGCCTACAAATACAGAATACTGCATTTAAATAGTTTCACTATTTCATGTGACAATTGTGTCTAAAATATGAATGGGATATGGATTCTGTTTTCTGCCAAACGTATCCTTCGTCCTCAACCCAGGATAAATTCACAGCTCATCTATTATATTTCCTATTGGTACATGAGATAAGTTTGATAAGGAATGCCAGGAGCGTAATAAATATGCAAAGTTTCTTCATCGCTACTCTATTGTAGGATATTGTCAGCTGTGATGATGGAGAAAACCCCACAATCATAATCCAGTTATGCAGAACAGTCAAAATTCAAATTAAAGACATTAAATTAAACAGCAACAGACACAAGAGATGACAATTCTGTAAAGCTGCATCAGCCGGAACACAAACAAAATACATAAGCAATGATCATATAAGCATTTCAGATTCTAACCTCTAATCAAATCAAATAAAAATCAATAAATATAAAAGTATTCTCTACAATATATATATGTATGCATTACACACAGTGCTATCTATGTATAAAATAATATTTAAATCACAAATTATTTTTGTGAACACATATATATCTATGATTTTAAATACTGGAAAAATACAATTGAGTCCCTTGCAATGAAACAGTGAAACGATAATTATTCAAGTGTCTCTTTCTCTGTTTGCTAATCTGCTATGATCTTTTCTTTCATACATAGGCCTGTGTGAACAGTGGAAATGTGTTGCATATTTGACTGCACATTGAAAAAGCATTCAAAGCCTTTCTATTGCTATTCCTTCATTTCTTTAAAGTAACTCAACAGTAACATTTTATTTTACTCCTCAAAGCAGTGACCGCTGAGGAACAGGAGTAGTTTTGTGACCCTTTCAACAATTACACTTAAAAATATGCTTTAGTTTTTTATTTAAAGGGTCAGTTCACCCAAAAATGAAAATGACCTCACCATTTATTCTCCCTTGTATGGTTTTAAACATATTTGGTTGAACACAAAAGAAGATATTTTGAACAATGCTGGCACCCATTGACTTCTATAGTAGGAAAGAAATTTACTATGAAAGTCAATGGCTTCAAGCAAGTAACATTCTTCAAAATATCGTCTTTTGTGTACAACAGAAGAAAGAAACGCTCATATGTTTAGAACAAGTTAAAGGAGAATAAATAATGTCAGATTTCATTTTTAGGTGAATTTTACCTTTAATGTACATTATGCCATAAATATTCAAGATAATAGAAATCTTTTGGTCAAATCAGTCCCCTGTTGGATGTAACATTCAGGGTCTGGTCTTTATATGATAAAGCTTTATCACCATTGTACATTCATTTCATTGTGCAACATCTTGGTCCATATGAGCCACTCAGAAAAGGTCCTAAATGATTCAATCAATCCAACACAAAAGGAAACAAGCAATTTGTTTCCAAATTTCAGAAACTATTCTCAAAAGAACACAAAAACATTGAGCTTACACAAGTAATGACAGTAACGCTCTTTAACTGCAGTAACAAACTCTGAGAGGTCTGAGACGAGGTATTTATGTCATGCATTGGCCATAATGTAGAAATGAATAACTTAACATAGTCATTACCCAGACTCTGGAACTCTGCAGGATTAAATGGACGGTACATTGGGTTGCAGGATTCTCAACTGCTTTGGTCACAGTAATGAGGATATTAAAGCAACTGTTTTTAAAACAGAACGGAATGAAAAGCAAGGACCTTAAAGGCATAGTTTAGCCAAAAATGAAAATGTCCTTCTTATTTCCTCACTCAAATGGTTATAAGCCTTTATGAACTACTTTCTTCTGTTGAACACGTGAAGATGATGCTGAATGTTGGAAAAAAGCAGTCATTGGCATCCATAGTATAAACAAAAAGTCTTTTTTTTTTCCAATAATTTGTGTATTTTCCTTTGTGTTCAACAGAGAAAACGGAAACCAGTGGAGGAAGCAGAATTTTCATATTTGGGTGAACTGTTCCTTTAAATTATTCAGTAACATTCTTCATGATGACTTCTAACAGCTATATGAAGCATCTCCTACTGCTTTTCCTGGACTCTTTTCAGCCAATGACAAGTCAAAGGGTGATCAAGAAACCAGAGTCTCTTCAGATTGGTTTCTGTCAGAGCTGCTCATTTCTCCCAAGATCCCGATGGTGACTGTGTGCTGTCATATGTGGATGTTGTGGTATCGACCTTTGGCAAGATCTATATCCACTCTGCGAGCTTCTGCAAAGCTCAGAAATGTTGTTAAACCCAGCAAGTTGACCACTGTAATGAGGCCGAACACTGACGCCCAGGAACCTGTGGTCTCGATTAGGTACCCCGAGAAATACACCATGATGACCCCTAAATGACAACACACAGAGCATTGCTAAATACTAATAAACACACTGTAAAAGGATCATTTCTGTTAATCCTTAAAAAGGGTAATAAATAAATGTATTGAAACTGTTCTTACCTGTAAACGCTCCACAGGTATTCATCACCCCTAAAAGAAAAAGAAAAAAAAAAGACATAATATTAGGGCCGATTTTGACTTCTAATGATTGTGAAAAACCATTAATCGAGATAAATGACATTTGCATCATATACAGCATACCGCCCCCTTTTCAGTTGTACACATTTGTTTCTCTTAAAAGCGTGAAAGACTGCATGCTTATGTGTGTGTGTGGCGTGCACACAGTCAAAAGCATGCGATCAGCATTCGGTCTCACTCACACACTGAGACAAGCAGAGCACACACACATCTAATGTCATCTTAACGTGGGCGCTTTAAGGGTCAATTAAGTGTCAAAACGCGGTGTTTATTGATTATTCATAGTAACCCTCATTTGTGTAATAAACAAACAAGTTGAGAATCAAAAGACATGTGAAAGAGAAACCATTAAAGTGACAGCGCAATATTCCTGCTGCCGCCAGTTTTTATCACTAATCAAACATCAAAAGGAGAAAATCCCTCACTGCTCTTGACTGAAGGAACATTAAAGTGTTTTTTTTTTTTCTTACAGTGAAGATGCTTAAAGCACGGTTTGTTTCATATTTTTATTTTATTGTATTTATTTTACTTTCCTTTGCAGGGTGAAAAATTATTATGTATGCAGTTGAAGTCAGAATTATTACCCCTCCTGAATATTAGCAACCCTTTTCCTCCCCAATTTCTGTTTAATGGAAAGAAGATTTTTTTTTCAACTTATTTGTAAACATATTAGTTTTAATAACGCCTTTCTAATTACAGATTTATTTCATCTTTGCTATAATGACAGTACATAATATTTAACTAGATATTTTTCAAACTACCAGCATTCAGATTCAAAGTGCAATTCAAAGGCTTAATTAGGGTAATTGGGCAGTTCACTGTATAACAGTAGTTTCTGTTATTAAAAAAATATATTGCTTAAGGGGGCTAATAAAATTGACCTTAGAATGGGTTTCAAAATATTTAAACCTGCTTTTATTCTAGCCGAAATAAAAGAAAAAAATTATTTTTTTAATTATTATTAAAGAAGAAAAAATATTAAAGGAAATACTGTTAAAATTCCTTGCTCTGTTAAACATTTTGGAAATATTTATTTAAAAACAAATTCTCTGGAGGGCTAATAATTTTGACTTCAACTGATAATCGTTTTTGAATAATCGTTATTACAATTATGACCAAAATAATCATGATTATGATTCTTACCAAAATCGAGCAGCCCTACGTATTATGATTTAAAGGAGACAAACAAAATGAGCCTCACCATCAGACTATCATATGCTGGGTTCATAATCGCGCTACTTTAGTATGTTTTTTTTTTTTTTTTTTTTTTACATCAAGCTAAAATTTAGTTGAAGTACAATTATTTGAACTGAGGCAAAATCCAGATTCACCGCAAACATGCCCCGCATATACTTCATTTACAATATACCTGCAAATATTTCATTTTCCTTTTTGTATGAACCCAGCTTAGAGATCTTTTTGTTCAGTAGAGCAAAAGATTTTTAGATGATGGATAAATCACGACAATTGTGGTCCTTGTTGAATAATAAAATGCAGAAAACAAATAAGATCTATATCTCCAGATGATAAATGAAGGTTGTCTGAAGCAAAATCACTGGTATTAGCAAAAAATATAATTTTTACAACATTATTACCTCAACAAACTGTCCTGATCGTGCTCACAACAGTCTGGAGCATGTGACAATGTGACAAAGTATGTTTGGGTGCAAATTATTGTTTCTTGCACAGACCTCAATGCATCGTCGGGAGCCACTGTATTCATTTTTGTTTCGCCTGTATGTTGTTTTTACCCTAAAAATGCCTTGCTTTCTATTTCTCAACAAGAAACATGGTTTAAAGTAAAATTCTTCTATAGTCAGAGGAGAGAGAGCCATAGAAGCTATAAACTTAAAATTCTCTTTATGCCATGGTAAAAAAAGATCAAGTTTACCACATTTTATAAATAACACTTCTCTATCGTTATAAAAATATTCTAACAATTAAAGGTCACCAAAAGCAATAAATACACAAGGTAAAATACATTAATAATGATCAAATATAAGACAAAAATCTAAAAATGAATAAAATTTTAATTTTACAAGAATTCACATTCAAAAACATTTTGTTTCATTCTTTCATTTTCTTTTCGCCTTAGTCTCTTTATTAATCTGGGGTCAACACAGCGGAATGAACCGCCAACTTATCCAGCATATATTTTACGCCATATTTCATTTCAATATTTAAAAAAACATTTCATTTAAAGTCTCCCTAGACAAAAATTGTCATCTGATAACATTAAAAACGGGGCAATCCACAAGAATATGTTTACCTGTTGCAATATTGACATTTTGGGGGTTCTTCTCCCTTGAGTAAATGTTCATGTGTGAGTCTTATGTGTCCGATACGCCATAATCTCATCATGTTTTGATAAAAAAAATAAATAAATAAATAAATAAATAAATAAAAATAAAAGAATTGGATTTTGTTCCCATTTCAGGCTGGATTTCAAAAAGTCCATTTTTTGAGCACTGACCCCATTCTGCTAGCCATTTGTTAAAAACGTAGTGTTTTATTAGTTGCTTTCAATCCGAAGGTGGGATTTTGCTCTCCCTTATCTAGGGCCGTATTGATGGAAAATGAAGAGAAATGTTGAGCAATACACACATACAGATTTATCCCTTTATGTGAACAGTACATACCAAACAAAGCACCGGCACAGGAGGGAGCAAGATCTTGAACATTCACCGAAACCCCACTTGAGAGACAGAGAAAGACAATTACATTTGGACATTGACATTATGCATTTGTTGAAGATCGGTGCTTCCATTGCCTGAGAACTAAAACCATGATCTGGGCGATCAATCGAAGGAGATTTTCATGCACATTTTCTTCAGTAAAAGTTGTTCTAGTAAACCTCCAGCAGGTGCGTTCAGATGAAGCAGCATTTATGAACAGTAGTTTACTGACAAAATAGGCAAAAATATTCAAAATCTAAATCATTTGTTTGATAATGACATCGAGATTATTCTGTGATAATGACAGCGGTGTCACTGAACTATGAACTATGGATCTATGTAGTAAATGCTGCATTTGAAAATACCACATTCAATAATGTTTATACTCCAAACTCACTTCATAACTTCAGTGTAGTGCTGGAGATAAATCCTTTTTGTGAAATGTGATTGTAGTCGTTTGATTATGCTTAATCAATGTAGTAGTAATCCTCGTTTATAACGCAAATCTATGGGTATTTCTTTTTTTTTTTTTTTTCAGGGTATTTGGAGTTTCCACACAAGATCGCCCTCTAGCCTTTGTAGGAATTTACTGCTGATCATACAACCTTCTTTCCCTGACAAAATGTGCATGATCACAGCTTTGCTCAAAAGCATTTGTAATTACATTTGGATTAATCGGCCAGCATTTCCTTGTGTTCTCATGTTTGTATGTTTAATCCACACGTAAGCAGTCAGTGGTTTTACCTGTGGCTGAATGTGGTAAGGCCCATAGTAGCGGACACGAAAGCCACAGCTGCAGGAAAGGTGGTGGTGCCACACAGAAACAGAGTAAACACACTGGAGACGCCCATGGAAAAGAACTGGAATACACGCAGATTAATGCATTATTATACAATATATATACTGTTAAACCATTTACAGTCAGTAGTAGGGATGCACGACATACTGATAACTGTCATATCAGTGTTGGCCGAAGTTATCGTTGTCATCCCAATAACAAAAATAAAATCAAACATTTTTATTTACATTCATTAAATCTTGATTATTTCTGCTGGTAAATGAGATTTGATTGTTGTCTTTCAAGTGATGTGCACACATCCGACAAACAATTTACAACAGTTTGTGTCTTTACTGTATTTGTTTGCCTTTTGCAACCAGCTATATCAAGGTATATATTTATCAGCCCTTATATCGGTTACCGCTTCCATATATGATGAAATATCAGGATATCGCCAAAATTGTCCATATGCATCCCTCGTGATTAGCATTTTGTATGGATCATTTATACTTTCAAGTATTAAATTGATTAAAAGTGTCAAATAAAGACAACAATGATACAAAAGATTTCTATTTCCTTTAAATGCTATTCTTTTGAACGTTCAAACTTACTTCACATTAAAAAAACATTTAAAATGTGAATTAAATAGATTATATACCAAATCAACATTTTATTTTATTATTATATTTTATTAACATTTTATTTGAATTAGTATTAGAGCCCCTACTATTTGTTTTTAAAAATGACCTTCCATGCCATGTGTAACACAGCTCCAAGTGAAGTAAAATATCCAGCTGATGTTTAAATATTGATTCATGTATAAAAGAGTCGACTCGGAGTGGTTTGAATGAATTGCCGCTGTATTGAGTCTTTAGCTCGAGTGACGTCAATAAAGAACTTAAGCCCCGCCCATTTGTTGCACATGCAGACCCAGGAAAATTGAATCCCTTGGCTTCACCCACAAACACAGTAGAAAGAAAAAGAGGAAGACAAACACTGTAGCAGATCCCGGCTAAATAATGTCATGAAGACGTGCTCTGAAGTGTGAGGGAAATTTAGTGTAATTTTAACTACTCAAAGATGAGGCTGTGAAGAGTCAGTGGTTGAAGTTTATTTTTGAAAAAAAACAAAAAAAAACATCAGCATTATAGCCCCACCCTTGTGCTGTGTTACCGTCATTTTTCTGAAGAGTGCTTCAGCAATCTACATGCTTACAATGGGGGATTCGTCGGCCGTTTGTTAAAGGAAGGATCGGAAGAGACTATTGATGTGTGGGACTTTGTCAGAACTTGACAGGAACTTTACAGTACACAGTTCATAAAAATGTGCTAAACGGATCATATGAGAGTCGTTGGGATAATTAAGTAAAAATAAATGCATATTGTAAGACAACGAAAGTGTTTTTTGACCTTGCATGCATATCAGCCTGGCTCTTTAATATTTTAGATCAGTAGTGTTTTACACTCTCTTTGATTTAATTAATACAGTAATGATGAGGCAAAGTGTGTAGCTCAAACTGACCTGCATGAGTTTTCTCACTGACGCAGTATCAAAACCTTTAAGAGACAAAGAATGAAGCAAGAGCATTAGCGTGCCAGCTGAGGAACATTTGACCATTTTTATAAGACAATTATAGTGGTGTAGACTTGACATTTACAACACCATAAAACTCAAACAGACTCATAACAGCGGTGGGAAAGAGCAGAGTCACAACACTGAGGAACAGGCAATACCTCTCTATTGTCCAGCAAATAGACATGGAGATGAGGAACAAACGCTTTCGTGTATGAGTGTTTTCGTACCCTGACTGATTAGATGGTCTGAAAGGCAGCCACTAAACAGGGAAGAGGGAATGGCCACAAACCATGGGATCACATTAAACACCCAACCCTGAGGAAACACACATGCAGACACACACACACACGCAAACACAGATGCGCACAATGAACAACATGTACGTTTGAAAATACAGTTTTGAGAAATTAATCATCCAAAAACCTTTATTTACTCACCATTCATTTGTTTAAAACCGGTTTTTGAGTTTCTTCTGTTGCATAAAAAAAAGAAGCGATTTTGAAGAAAGCGGTAGCCATTGACATCCATAATAGCAGGGGAAAACACCATAGAAGTCAATGGCTTTGGATAAAATGGATTTCCAACATTCTTCAAAATCTCTTCTTTTGTGTTCAACAGACGAAAGAAACTCAATCAAGTTTGGATAAAGCGAATGGTGAATAAATAATGCCAAAGTTTACATTTTTGCATGAACTACCCCGTTAAAATATAAAGCCTGTTGCTGAAGTTTAACCGGAACATGCTAACATGACTAGCGCAGTCTCAGAAATCAATTACAGGTTGTTTTCCTCACACAGACGGAGAGAAATCGCAGTATGCACACTGATATTCTTCTGCTTTGACACAGATCATGTTCTCGTGCTGTCTGAAAGAGCGCTGTTCAGTTTACCTTGGCATCAGGGAAGGTGTCCTTGAAAAACGTTGGCAGCCATGACAGAAGTGTGAAGAAGGTGCTAGCAGTGCACAAGTGTGTAATAATGACGGCGCTGAAAAACAGACAGGAGTGTTTAAGACTTGTTTAAAATGAAGACACCAACAAGCCAAAAAAGACATTGAAGGTACACCTAGTTACTTTTCCTAAAGACAAAGAAAATAATATTTACCCCCAAAAATGGAGGAAGGAATTGGAATTATGACATGGAATCATTTGATCATGGCCAACAGCTAATGGAACCTTTTCACAAAACTGTTACGACGCGTTTAACGGTCATCATAAAATCTTGAAAGTTTTTAATATTTTGCTTTTTAAAAAAATTTCAACATTTATATGCATTTATGAATGTTTCATAGCATCTTTGCATCAAATTAATTGCAGTAAATTTGACATTATTCTCTCCTCTGACTGCCGTCATCAGACTCACACTACTTTCCCCATTTTCTGAAAGTCTTGATAACACCATTGTGGTGTTTTTCGTTTATTACTACAGCAATTAGGATTGTAAAAAAAAAAGATTTGTAATCTCCCATTCACTGCGCTCTAAGTTTACCCACCTATGACAACTTCTGCTGCTGAGAATCCCGGAAATGTGAAAAGGGACTTTAGCACATTACTGCCGTATTAAAGGTGCAGGAGGTGATTGTCTACAGAAACATTTTTTGTTCTGCTGGTTAAAAGTCTCTTCACATTCCAATAGTACTGATTAAAATAAATGATCTAAATGTGTTTATATTAATTTTATATTCTACAATTATATTATACAGTTCCCATAATTCTGATAAGTAACCCAAAATGTCTCTCAGCAAATGTAGATTTGTACATCTGCACATCTGTTCATGCAAATCCGCCATTAGCGCGTGTACGCACACTGTGTTCATGACATGAGCACACAAGAGAGATGAGAGTGGTAAAAACAAATGCTGAATCAATATTGGAGTTACTTTTGCACGCTGGAGGATGGATGACACCATGGCTGAAGTACTTCTTTTAGACAGGTAATGTTATGTTTTAAAACTATTTTAGTCACTCAAAGCTAAAACAGATGTTGTTGTTTTATGAATGGGTTAAATGCACAGACGAGTTGTTAAGCCACTAAAATCCTAAGGTGAACGGTTGATGTGACTATTATTAGTTTCATAAGGGACCTTTTTACAGCATCTATAATGTAGATTTATATTAAACTTAACAAACAAAACACAATAGCGCTATTCCGCCTAGCCTGCTTTACTGACATGAAGTTGTTATACAATATGAATGCATTCACATTGATTCATGTTTAAAGAATGACAACCTGTGATGTGCTCCCTATTGTTTACCACTACCAAGGAGCTTAGAATCACCAAGAGGCAACACTCAATAGAATGTTCAATTGCAACAGCAGTGCCCAGCAACAGCCCCGGATTCCGCCATTTTGGAGTGAAAGCGGTCGGCTGTCCATTGGATCTTATCGCTGTTGTGATGGCAAGTAGCTGCTTTGTTTTTTATTTATTTATTTTAAAAGCGCATTAAAGCTGAGATACAACCTGAAAGATGACAATACAACACTTACCATCACAATCATCAGCACTTTTAATAGTTTATTTTACAGATTTATAATATGCTGTTGTTCTATTGGAATTTTCATTCCAAAATGGCCGTTTCCCCAAATCACACTAGAGTGTCGTCTCTTGGTGATTCTATGCTCTTTGCCGCTACTCTGAATATTAGGTCTGAAATAGCATGCAAGTATGGCTTAGTAATAGGTGTAATTCCTGCACACCTCCAGCCAACCACTAAGCATATGGTAGTTGCTTTAGGACAGAGCACATGAGAGTGAGACGAGCAGTCCTTGCATGCATGAAATATCGCACACTGACAAGTTTTGCTTGCTACACAACTGAAAACGTGCTAGATATAAAACAGTCGTATTATGACAGAATTTGAGTTTGCATTTTCAGGTCATTGTCCAAAAATCAATAGATTTTCAATGCAACAAAGCTTGTAGAGTGCCATGAACACATTCAGGATTATTTGCTGAGGTTTATTCATTTTGTTTTGACTGTACTGTATGTGTGTGTTTTTTTTTTTTTTTTACCTCAGTTTCAGCTTAAAATCATCTACCAAAAATAAAATTCACCTGCATTATGGATATCCTGAGGGTGAGTAAATTAACATTTTATGACCTTTCAGTTTCATATTTTATTTTATTTTTTATAATTTAAAGTGTTGTCTTCAAATTCATGTGGCAGTGGTATGGTTCTTTTTTTATCTGCTTAACTTCTAGTATTTGCATTTAGGCTACGTTTGCGAAGACCATAACCCTTTATTGGCCACAGAGCTAATAATAAAAATCATTTGGATTTATATTAAGGAAAGCAGAAAAATACATTACTTGCAGTGCATTATTGCTAGAACAATAGCAATCAGTAACAATCATAAACACCAGAACACACACTCTCTCTCTCAAGCACAAGGACAGTTGGGCAGTAACAGCAGCAGTCCTTTAGAATCAATATCCACATTTTTCCTCATACACTAATGTCATTTTCAAACTAAAGCATCCACGTCACCTGTGCAGTCAGAAACACTATAAATAGCGGATGTGAATCAGGCTTTTATGGAGATCAGTAAAGACGCTTTGTTCAGCATCCATTTTCTCGCTCACACACGCACACGCACACACAATTCAGGTGCTAATCTCACCACACAGCTGGCTGTCTGAAGAGCCGCAGCCAGTTCCTCTTGGGTATTTTGGACTGAGTCCCGGCACTGCCCAGAGACTCCAGTGTGATGATGGGACCTGTCAAACACAAGCACAATGGCCTTTAAACAACAGCTAAACACCTGCTGAGGCCAAAACAGAACTGCTGCTGCGTCTGATCTGCATGATCTGACTGGAGAAACACAGACACTGATCCTCAAGCACTTGTTAGTTAACAGTGATAATCTATTATTTTTATTACATTTACCCATATATCAGCCAAGATACCAAAAAATGGCTTTAACACTTTTACCAAATTAGCGTAGCATTATACAGATATCTAAAACACTTGATTCTGATTGGTCAATTATGGTGGTAGAAGGATATTTATAATGTTAGTAAACATGTCTATTCTGTATGATCTATGTTATTCTCAGTTTCTCTGGATTTACTGGAGTTTTTACACTGTAAAATAATTACACAGGGGGGTGTTAAAGGCTACTCATTACAGCAGTTAGATTTTAATTAATTATTTGAGCTACTAGGTAAAATACATAATAATTGGGTACATTCTATCTACGCTACCTATTTTTTAACAGTAATAACAGAAACATTTAAAAAGTGAATAAAACTTATCCATATTAGCTTTGGTTCTAGAAAGTGCACATGCGTCAACGTCCAGGCGGCAAGTGTGGAATTCATATTTTTCGATGTCATGGCTGCAGTGGAGAGGCGGCATCACTATTTGTCAAGCTAAATGGTAAGTTTTTGTTTATATTTTTTATACATGAATGCAAATGTAAGTTTGTTTTGTTAAAAGGTATAACATTACTCAAATATCAGCCTTTTACCTTTATGTGCTTCCCCGTGTCTGTTGTTGATGCCATATGCTGCTGACTGCTAACGTTGATGACGGCTACCGACAGACGTGCGTTATCGACAGATAAAACATTCACCCACAAATGAGAGTAAGTTACGTTTAGCATTTGCATCTATGATTATTCAAATATATTGTTTTGTACATGGCTGAAAGAGCGAATCTGCAGCACACCATTGTTGTTCTTCCGAATTGTTTCATTTTAGAGAATGAGTCACCACAAGATATTAAAATTGCTTGCATTTTGTACATGTCTGGCATGCTCCGGTACTCTAACAATGCATTAAATCAAAACAACTGCTGATGATCGTCTCTAATGAGCGAGTTCAACTAACCTTAAAGAGGGTCACACATGCAGCAGCATTCATTTCAGAATTCTAAACATAGGTCTCTATCAGGGTGTACACACAGGCGGCCCAAGTCGGCAGTGCCCAGCCACGACTCGTGACACTGTTCATATTTCTGCCGCATCACAGAGCGCCATCTGATTAGTTTCATTTTAAATAGCATGCGAATGTGTGCGTCTGGTGTGCGATACTTTCAACTGTCATGTGCGCACCTGACACTTTTTAACTAAACTTACCCTTCACAAAATAATTATTAATTTAACACATTTTTATTGGCTAATTATGATTAGTATTAATATAGTAAAAGAACTGTTGCTGCTAAAAGTAGAGTAAATGTTTCTCAAATTTTTAAGTAATTACTAATGATAATTAGTAGTTAGACCTTACCTAATTTCTTTTGGTATGTTACCACTGTTACATTTAGATTCTATTTACCCAAATATTTGTGATAGAATCTACCCTACAGAAGTGAGTGGAAAGTGAGTGGAAATTGTTCCATTAATTTTATTGGGTAGATTCTATAGGTTGTTTTTATACAGTGTAGGTATGGGTTTAAATATAACAATATAACTATATATATATAACTATATATATATATATATATACATATATATATATATATATATATATATATATATATACATATACATATATATATACATATACATATATATATATATATATATATATATATATAAGCGCTGTCAAAATTAATGCGTTAACGCATTCGATAAATTTGAAATAATTAACGCCTTAAAAAAGTTTTTTTTTCCTGTTGTGGCCAGGGGCAGTTTCCCGCTGAGTCGACGTACTTTTTGGGCCGGGCTGATCATCTTCTTATGATCTGATTGGCCCATAAAACACTTAGCAGACTGTCATGTTTTTCTGCCCAAGCGATTGACAATCCTTTGAGCTGTCACGCTCTGAAAGTAAGAGGTTTTTTTTCAGACAGAGCGGCTGTGCGACATAATTTGCAGCCCATTGGTTTTTTTCTTTATTGACATTGGGCTGACCAAACCACAAACTTCCATGTTGGGCTCTGTGTAACGTAGGTGTGTATTTGTCAGAATAGTCGGAAGAGCAGAAGCGGAGAGCAGGCTTTTGACATTTGTGTTTGCACTCTGCAGCATACAGCGGGGCACAAATCAATATATTCCTGTCTATTCTATCTAGTTACCTATCTGTCCATATAAATATACTTTTTTAAAAACTTTTAATCTGCACCACGGCAACTTCCTCCTATGCTGTTTCCTTAACCTGCAAGTCTTTATTTTACAAATTTTAAAGAATGTCTGCTTCTCAAGCTCTATGAGGGGTGTCAGTCTTGTATTTCAAGATGCACTCGGTCAGAAGACAATCGCTAAGATATCATGCTATTGTGTTTTTGATCGTCAGCATGATGTAGGCTTATAGTGAAAAAAATATGTATACAATATGGTTATAATGATATGTATACATGATCAAACTATTGTGCAACTTAAGTAACTTTTTTTTTTTTACATTTAGTTTTGTAGTTCGGACAGAAACAAATATTTGTTGCATTTTTCAATTGTTTAAGGTTATTTGATTGACAATGTAAAATCTTTTAGCTTTGTTTGATGTTTCATTGTTGAGTTGAACAATTTTTTAGGGTCTCTGACACATTGCTTTTATTATTTAGCTTTGTTTTATTAATCAACATTAACTGTGTGCATCAGCAGGCAGTTTTTGTTATGTTTATTATTTATTAGGCTCCCTCAAAACACACAGACACACACATTTCCAGTGTGAATTATAATTTTATAATAATAATAAATATAAAAAAGTATAAATTATAAAAAAGTTTTTAATTTGTCAACTCTCGTTATTTCCTATATATGGCTTTTGTGCTTTTATAGAATGGGAGTTGGTAAACATTTTCAAGGGCACACACAGATAGGGAGCATTTTGATTGATGTAATGGGCCGCTCTGGCCCAAAATGCCAGGGCTGTTTTTTTTGTCTCAGTCCAGCCCTGCAATGAGTGCAATTGTTTGTATTCAATACTTTATTATCATTATTGTAATTTTCCATTTTCCATATCTGTAATACTTGTATTTTGGCATTTTTTTTGCAGTCCACTTAGAATCCAACTTGGAAATCAATAATATCTTTATTGGCATTGATTGTTTTGAAATTCAAATGGTACCGCCATGCCTGTGTTTTTATTTCTGTAATAAATATGTCTGTCAAGCCAGGATCTTGATGGTTTATTGTGGGTATGCTGTATACATGTAGAAATCTGTGTTACAAGTTACACCAAATTTTCTAATAATAAATTATATTTTGAATTGAAATAGTATTTGTCTTTTTGAATTTTACATTCGAATAGCCAAAATTACAAGTTTAAGTCTTTTAAATGCAGTCGATTAATTTATATATATATATATATATATATATATATATATATATATATATATATATATATATATATATATATATATATATATATATATATATATATATATATATAATTTTTATTTTTTTTTTTTCTATAAAAGTACGCTGATATTTCCTACAAAATAACCCTTGCAGGGTTCAACACTAAGAATTTTGTCTACTGATTCGATCGGGCCAGTTGTTTAGATTTTTATTTGCCCTGGCAAAATTTTTACTGGCCTACCAAAAATAAATAAATAAAAAAAGAGAAGTTAATGGCTATTTTAATCACATATTTTAAATATTGTGTCAAAAGTAATGTCTGTGGATCTAGTATTTCAATACCAGCGACCTTCGTGCTGTGAGGCGACAGCACTACCTACTGCACCAAAATGAGCCAATTTTCAAAAAAAGTTTTCTTTTAAGATTTACAAGAGTTGTGTTCAGTTGTAATCCATTTCTGAAACTAAAATCAAGCTGCAAGGTACCCGGGCAGATATTAGCATTTATATTGCTGTATTTGTGTGTGTGTGTTTCAGTGTGCTGTACATACCCTCTCCTTTCAGCAGATATTTCCACATGCAATAAGCCCACAGCACAGACAAAAGCCCAGAGACGTAAAACACACTCTCCCAGCCGTACAAATCCAGCATCAGAGAGCCCACACCTCCTATCACCAGAGTCCTACACACACAAACACACAGTTACACACACTCAAAGACACATCTGCATGAACTAGAGGCTGTAAACAGAGTTCAGTATCAGACACTAACCCCAGGTATGAGCCGCTTCCCACTGTGCTCATGAGGAAACCCCTCTCACTCTCCACAACCTTCTGAGAGCACAGACTGGCCAGAGACGGGTAATGAACACCTGAGCCACACAGAGAGAGAGAGAGAGAGAGGGAGGGAGGGAGGGAGAGTAAGAGAGTGAAAACAAACATTATCATTCACTGCAGCACCATCAGTGGATTACTATTGCGTTCATAATGTGGCTGATAACTAGGCCCACACAAAATCTGCAGCTTTTTGGTGCAGTCTATTTATTTACTTAATGTCAGTAATATTATTGACAAATATAAAAATGTTTATGATTTATTAACAATACAGTTTGTAAGTAATATTTTCTGTCTTTTAGTAGTTTTATTATATGAGAGACTTGCTTTGTTTACCAAATAAGTGGATCTAATTGTATTTGCGTTCTGATCATCAGATTAAAGTTAATTAACGTTTTTTCATATTTTAAGTTTAGTAATGATACTCCCAAAATCATTCTGCATAAATCCACAGATTTTTGTTTTTACAAAATTCTACAAAAATAGCAAAAATTTTGATTTGACAGATTCTGTCTGGCCCTACTAATAATCAACAAATGGTCAATGTTATTCTAGTCTACTACATTTATTTGTGGCAAGTGATACATATAATAGTTATTTATTAAATTATGTATTTATTTGTGTGTAAATAATCAATTATTTGTTTCTTGTAGCCTTCTACCACTTCATAAACACTAAAATAGAAGTAAAAGATCTACATGTGGGTTCCCGCACTTTCATGAACAGCAGATTTAAAGACTTTTTAAAGCACCATTCATTTTAAATCAGGCTCCTTTGGGATTTATACTAGGGTTGAGTTGATAGATGATGCCATCGTCCATTGCCAATGGCTGATAAACATCACGATGCTGAGCTGGCATAGTGATTCTCCACCCCACTCCCATCGTAGCAGCAACCCGCTCATGAAACATACACTTTTAGGCCCCATTTATACTAATATCTCTTAGTTTTAAAATTACACTTTAGAACGAAAATGATCCACATCCACACTAGCATTTCATGTAGCATTTCTGAATGGCTCTCCGTCCACACTATACCGCTGAAAACGCATATCACGTGATCACACACACACAGGCATGTGCTGCAGCATACGCACACATCTGATGTGACGTCAAACACCTTTTTAATCCCTATAGGATTTTCCCATAGGCTTTTCAAAGATTGCAAATAATAAGCTCTTTGTTCAAACCGTTCATTGCACTGTTCATTACACTTACACGTTTTGTCCCGCTGGATAATCCTCACACAAAAATACAACTTTGAGCACTTTTGGACCTTAAATCTAAAATGCAAGAACTGAAAAGCTAACATTACACTATAAACGGGCTATAGAGCCTTCGAGGCGCTCGTCTGCGACGTCAGCACCACCCTGCTACAAACAAATTTTTACGCTTATTTTTAGAAATATGGTCCATGATCAAGAGTTAATCTCTCTGTTTATTATATTATAATCCACTCTATATATTATAAACAAATAAATACGCAAAAAACACATATACCTACGTGCCTTTTGGATCATTTGACAAGGGAAATACATCTGTTTTGCTTTACGGTTGTTCTTAAAGTTTTGAAACTGTATGTATAAATGTGCCTACATAGTATTATCATAAGATGTATTTAAATAAGTGTATCGCTCGCGTGCACACAGTCTGCTCACCTTGACAGAGGACAGAAATGAGGCGTGAGGAGGAACAAGTCTATCAAATGCCTGCAAGTTCCATCATGGATCGAGAACATTCGATATTCTTTTTATGTCATGAAGTACAGCGAACAGCAGCTCATACAGTCACATCTGCTATACATTTTAAGGAGGAGTGTAAATATTGCAGTTATGATGAAGTTAAATGTGTTTAGATGAAGAAAAAAAACTGACGAAAAATCACTTGATCACATTAAAATGGCAGTTAATATGTATGTTTTTCTTACACATTTACATTATTGAGAGCAGGCTGCACTGAAAAGTGGTATCTTTATAATATCGTTTTATTAAAATAAATGATCAACAAATTAGTCTGTCTCGACAGCCTTTGCAAATGAAGGCACCATCTACACACAATATGAATTCCAGATTAGAAAAACACCACAATAAAATACTATTCATGAAAATACTTAAATAACTGACAAATCCAAATGTCCAACGCAAGCGAGCTGTACTCCAGTCCAGTTCAGCTTGATGACGTATAATGTCTCCGACACCGCCTGTAGTCCCAAGCATAACCGATTTTAAAAAATCAAGAGTGTGATGTAACTGATGTGTTTTATCTCGTAGAACAAAACGTGAAAGTATCTTGAGTTTGTGTTAGCCACGAACCTTATTTAAGCGATTTTACTGAAACCCCATACAAAAAACCCATCGACTTTGGGACGAGGAAACCGGAACTGCTGAAATGCTAACTCGCTACCGGGTTTTTGCATACAAATTGACATCATAGTTCCTCCACTCTACTGTATAAGATGGAAATGTAATATTTCCCCACTTTTTTAATTCTTTTTTTGACAATTAATTTCAATTGTTGAAATAAAAACAAACACAGATCCTTGAAATTGCTTGAATTAAATTTGAAGTAAAATTGGTTTATGGTTTTAAGTACTTACTACCAGGCCTTGAATCCATGTGTCTGAAATTCAAGTACTTTCCCTGGCATTATTCTTTAAAAGATTATAAACTCAATTCAAACATCCATGCAAACTTATTCTCTAATATTCTTCAAACTACAATTCAGAATTTAATTGTATTAAACTAAAAATCACAGCAAACATTCAGATCTGCATTTGTACTGCTTCTGAACCAAAAATGTAGATTCAGCAAGTCAACCCTTCATTAGTGAATGCGTTATTATTTTGTTTCATATAAATTACATTTGTTTTATATAAATAATATTTTTGATTAATATTTTTAAACTAAATTAATATCTTTATAAAAGTCTGCAGCAAATAACCTTTTAAGAAGCTCTAGTAAATTGCATTTGATTTCTTTAGTTGTGTATAGAGTAATTAGCTAGTTATTTACTATACTCCAGTAAGTAATATTTCATCATAGTATTGTGTTTTTGAATAAGGGCTAAACGATTTATTAAAACTAAATCACAATTTGAAACATTCCAATTAGCTAATCACTAATGAGATATGAATTTAAAATAAATCGTCACCTTAAAATTCTAAGATTCTATCAGACATTTTTGTCAAAATTGAGTTATTTACAAGTTCTTATTAAATGACAACTTATTTGCATTATGGGATGCTTTTTTATAAGTTGTTTACATTAAGACTTTTTATTTAAAAAACAAATGTTACACACCAAGTGATGCTATGGAATGCAAAAACATTAAAACTCATTATCTCAAAATCATTTAGAACGCAGATAGAACCTTATAATTCCGAGGTGACGGAATGTCTGGAAATATATTTACACCACCCAGGAGCAGATGCACAACTGTCCTCTCTGAGTGACAGGCTTAACCAGTAGAGTGAGCTCACACACATATTTCTATTAATCATTCTGATTAATAATGTAAATATACTCTTTCTGGTAGTTGAATACCTGACAAATTGATGCCATTAATTACTTGTTACCTTAAAGTGTGGACAAAAAGCTGAACTGACCCCCTCTGTGCTGATAAAAAGAGTAAAGTGATAATCCTTATCAAAATGGCACATTTTACAGTAGCCCAATGCCTGTTTACAGACTGCTTTAAGAGAACACAACAGCCATACAATGACATACAGCATAATTACTTGGTTAGACCACTTAGTTAGACTTCCTCACTTTACAAACCACAGCACAATTACACTCTATTCCACAGCAAATGACCTCTTCTCGTAAAAAGGGGGTCAGAAAGGAACATGTAGTAATTTGCAAGCAATCTGGAAGCGAAATAAGCAGTTTCTTCTAACAAAAGCACTGCGTGAATGCAGTTTGCAATCCCTCAGAGAAGGGATTTAATATTGTTTTGTCATTTTTTCAAGGTTAAAAGTATTATCACGCTTCAATATTTATCAAAAAAAATAATCAACAATCAGCAGTGTGTGTAAGGTTGCTTACCCTGAAGGAGACCCATGAGGAAGCGGGAGAGGGTCATGGAGAAGATGGGCTGCGAGCAGAAATGGGCCAGGATTGGTGTGAAGGCCGTCATTGCTCCCCATGCAGCCGCTGACAACAGCATTACTTTCTCTCCTCCCACCCTGAACAACACACACATCCAGACAAACAAAGCATCTATGAGTATAAATCTAAACTTTTTGGGGAGTTTTGCATTTGAATGTATTTGAGAACCATATCATCCAGAATGCAAATGCAGGTCTTGTAATGTGTATGCAAATTTTAATCAAATTTGCTTTTTTTTAATTATTATTATTATAATTATTTGATTACCTGCATTTATGCTGTTGATTTGTTTATTTATTTGTTTGTTTATTATGTTTATTATGTTTGTTTATTATGATTTGCCTTATGTTTATTTATTTTAATCTAGTACTGTTTACAACATAACTGTGTGTATCTATTTTTATACACACACCCATGTATATACATTTATAGAAAATGTTTATTTAGATTTTTAAAATATTTTGTTTAACATAAAATTATAGATTATTCTGAATATATATGCAAATATGCTCTATACAGGGATGGGACATTGAAATGTATTTTAAAATCAAATACCAAATACCTCAATTTTACATACATCATAATAAACTACAAAACACAGAAGCCACAAATGTATCAAAACAAAATACTGTGTTTTGAAAATACTACAAAATACTTTTACTAGGAAGCATGGAATTTCTTTAACCTTACATCAATAAGGCCATTGGATCAGTCCCTTAACCATTACACTGACTTTGGGTGCTTTCACACCTACACTTTTGTTTCGGAACGCATCTTGTTTGCCTAGTTAGCGCGGTTCGTTTGGCATATGTGAACAGGCCAAAGTAATCGCTCCGAGATCGCTTGAGTGAGGTGGTCTCGGCTCGATTGAAACGAACCCTGGAGCGGTTCGATTGCAGTGAGAAAGTGATCCGATCCGAGCGCGGTTATATCACAGTGTTTTATGGATATGTAATAGGCTTACGGCTATATGAAGAGAGAATTATGAGTAGGGCGGGAAGTTTCGCAAGTCTCCGGATGATTGCAAACGATTGCAGTGAACCGCTCCAGGGTTCGTTTCAATCGAGCCGAGACCACCTCATTCAAGCGATTTCGGAGCGATTACTTTGGTGCGGAACAGAGTGCGATTGCCCTGTTCACATATGCCAAACGAACCCCGCTAACTGGGCAAACGAGATGTGTTCCGAAACAAAAGTGTAGGTGTGAAAGCACCCTTAGTGAAGTAAACAATGTTTGACAGCAACAGCATTTCTCTGAGCAAGTTTAATTCAGCTTCTTTGCCAACTCATTCACCTCTACTCCTCTATATATATATATATATATATATATATATATATATATATATATATATATATATATATATATATATGAGAAGGTATTCATAAGCCTTTGTTTCTCTTTCATTTTAGTATAAGTTTTGTACAAATTTTTCAGAAATTATGTATTTTTTTCTTTTCTTTTTTTTGCAATTGTGCTCTTCAATACACAACATAAAACTTGATATCTCAAAAAGCTGGAGTTTTTGCACATAAACATTTCATTACATATATTCTGCTGCTGCTGCCATGTAACAGGAGTCTGGAGTTTTTAACTTGTATTGTGCCACTTTGACATCTTTAGGCATACATCTTTCCTCGTCAATACCTACACAGCGCATCTGCAAATCAACTATTGGCATGCCAATGAAGTATTGTAGGTATGCAAGACACTAAAGTACTTTGATACAAACTATTAAGCCATTTTCATAAACCCTATAAACAAATTTTGTATTATGTACTATTTTGTATTTGAAATACATGCATCATAAATACTGCCCATCTCTGGTTGTATTTACAAAAGTATGTGTGTGCTTTTATATATACATAATAAATATACTCAGCACACACATACATATCATGTAAATACAAACTCTTTTGTATGCGATTAGTCATGATTAATCATAAAATATCACTATTTTATCTGTCTATGTATATATAAGGGCTTGAATGACTTTAGATTTTAGTCGAATTTTATGTTATCAAAGTCAAGTCGTCTAGTCGCTGGTGATGTCATCAATAAAACACAAGATACAAATATTTTGCAACATCCCATCATCTGCTCTAGGGTATTTGAATGGAGCGACCTAACTGCTATCTGTTTTACGGTTTAAAGTTTACTCAAAAGTTCACGTGAATCTTTGACGCTGACATGTTAAAAATAACATTTTAAAAACTACTAAACATAAATTAAAAATAAATAATCAGATTTCAATAATCATAATTTCATTTAGTGAATGTTAATGACACGTGTGTGTAAAGCTGTCATGTAGCTCAAGTCAAACCACAAGATCTGCAAAGTGCGACTAGTCGACGTCAATCAAAAAGTGTCACGGCAGAGCATTAAATATGACTAGTCGGTGCAACCCAAATTATATGGTTTGTTCTGTAGACTATTGAAAAAATATATAGCTTAAAGGGGCTGATAATTTTACCCTAAAATGGCTTTTAAAAAATTTAAAACTGCTTTTATTCTAGCCGAAATAAAACCAATAAGACTTTCTCCAGAAGAAAAAACATTATCACACATACTGTGAAAATGTCCTTGCTCTGTTAAACATCATTTAGAAAATATTTAAAAAAGGGAAAAAAAATTCAAAGGCAAGCTAATAATTCTGACTTCAACTATATATTTTTTCTTTTTTTCAATGAAACTGGCTATTTATTAACTAATTTTACTATTACGATATATATATATATATATATATATATATATATATATATATATATATATATATATATATTTTTTTTTTTTTTTTTTTTTTTTTACTTTCATGCTTTTTCCAAACATTTTCACAGACCCCTTGAGGTCTAGTCTCTGGACCCCAGTTTAAAATGCCCTGTCTTACAAAGCCTTATAGTGCCGTTTCATTTTTTAGCTCTGCAGCAGGAGACTAATGCATTTGCATCACCTACTTCATCACTTTAGGTGCTATTTCTAAGCAGGTTGTGGCTCTCTGGTGGCTACTAGACCTAGAATGTGCTGTAAAAGTATAAGTGCGCATCATGTTATGAATTTCTGCAGTTATTTTGCTATCATCTTAATGTAAACAATGAGAAAACTAAAAACTAAACTGTATCAGGTATATGATCACAATGAACACACTTGGTGTGCTTTAGCATGTACAGTTAAAGTCAGAATTATTAGCCCCCGGTTTATTTTTTTCCCCCAATTTCTCTTTAACGAAGAGAAGATTTTCAACCCATTTCTAAACCTTATAGCTGTAATAACTCATTTCTAATAACGGATTTATTTGATCTTTGCCATGATGACAGTACATAATATTTGACTAGATATTTTTCAAGACACTTCGATACAGCTTGAAGTCACATTTAAACGATTAACTAGGTTAATTAAGTGAACTAGGCAGGTTAGGGTTATTAGGCAAGTTATTGTATAACAATGGTTTGTTTTGTAGACTATGGAAAATATATAGCTTAAAGGGGCTAATCATTTTGACCTTAAAATGGTTTTTAAAAAATTAAAAATTGTTTTTATTCTAGCCAAATTAGAACAAAGACGACTTTCTCCAGAAGAAAAAATATTATCAGACATACTGTGAAAATTTACTTGATCTGTTAAACATCATTTGGGAAATACTTAAAGAAAAAAAAATTCAAAGGTGGTTTAATGGTTCTGACTTCAACTGTATAAGCTCCCTCATAACTGTTTGCATATCAAACACAACCTGTTCAGCAAATATTTAAAGCAGTATTCACAGTCGAAACTGACATTTTTAAAACAGACACACCTACAGTATGAAACGGAAACTGCTGACACATTAGCATAAAGTCTAAAAATATATAAATGAACGTGCACCCACCCATCCTTTCCAAGTTTACACCTTTACACATTACACGGGGAGTAGTTCTTTTACTGTGAATAAATAGATAGTACTTCATTTACTGAACACTGATCCTGTTTCAGTAGTCACAATTATTTACATTCTGTCAAACATTAACTTTGAAACTGGAAGGTGCTCTTCGAAATGCTACGCAGTAACACTCCACAAAATATTATGGAACTTCTATTAACATATTATAGAACTTCTATTAACTCATTTCAAACTGTTATTTTATTTTTTAATTAACCTAAATTTTAATTACACAAAGACATTCCAATATTAGCTTGAAGATTTTTGCAGATTTCACTGAGTCAGGTTTTAGGAAAGTTACAAATTAAATGTAAGACTTAAAATCACCATGTTGTTCCCATTTGTAAATATAACACAGCTAATTATATTTGGAGAAGTAATAAAAAAAATTACAACACCATAAAATAAAAAAACACCATTCTAAGTCACTTTTGTGCATTTCAATGAGCATTTAGAGGTAACGAAATCTGTGATGTAATTTAGTAGCTCCTCCCCTTATTTAAAAACAGCCAATAGCATTTTGTTTTTAACCATAGCTCTTCCAGTCAGAGTGGTTGAAATGAAGCGCATCAAATAAAAAGCTATCAAAAAAAGTATTTAAGTGGGCGGGACATACTAGAGAAAATTTGATTGGTTCGAAGATTTGATGAGAAATTAAAGTATGAGGTGACTTTAACCGTTGATCTATTAAGCCTTTAATCCATCAATCTTGTAAATGTTAATTTTGTCACTGTTTTGGGGAACTCTAGCCAATAGATATACAATATATAGGGCTTCTAGTAGTACCTAGAATAGCAAAGTCGAGTAAAGGAGGTTGAGCCGTCTCATTTATGGCCCCTAAACTCTGGAATAGCCTTCCTGATAATGTCTGAGGCTCAGACACACTCTCGCAATTCAAAACTAGATTAAATACCTATCCGTTTAGTAAAGCACTCGGTGCATCACTAAGCGGGTTTCCACACAGGTTTCTGCATCTAGTTTATATACACTATGAACAGCAGCCCTGCTAGATATTCTCTATATTCTCCATTTCCACCTGGGGATTCTCATCCCGAGGCCCTCAGACTATGCAAAGTCACTGATTCGATTTAAGACCAGCGACGAGATGATCCCAAGGTTTCCATATCCTGGAACAGGCCATATCCTGAGCAGCTGCTGCGTTGGTCATGGAGTAGTGGAGAGCATGAGACTGAATCCTGTGATGCCCCAGGGACAGACGAGCCTTCGCTGAGGCCCAGCTTACAGCCTCCGCCGCTGAGACTACAGCTCTGCACAAGACGTTTGGCCAGCAGAGAAATTAAAATAGTGGTGCCTAACTGAGTCTGGTTTCTTTCAAGATATTTTTTCTTCACTTTCGCCAATTTGTGAAGAAATTTAACCAATTCGCCAATTTCTACGCTGTTGCCACAAGCTTGCATGGTTTGGGATCGGTAGAGCTACGCATCGATAGATTTGCTCTTCAGTGTTTAGACCAGTGGTCACCAAACTTGTTCCTGGAGGGCCGGTACCCTGCAGATTTTAGCTCCAACCCTAATCAAACATACCTGAACAAGCTAATCAAGGTCTTACGAGGTATACTTGAAACATCCAGGCAGGTGTGTTAAGGCAAGTTGGAGCTAAACCCTGCAGGGACACCGGCCCACCAGGACCAGGATTGGTGATTCCTGGTTTAGACCCTCAGTATTAATTATTAAACCACACTGAACTGAACTTAAACACCAAAAAAAATGTTTTATGTGAAGCTGCTTTGACACAATCTACATTGTAAAAGGGCTACCAAAATAAAGGTGAATTGAATAGATATCCGTAAGACAGAAAAATTAATTCTAACATCTAAAATACTTACATCACATAACTCACATCTTTTAAAACCATGTGGAAAGCCTGTTGAGGAATGGGAACAGTGGATTCAGTGGGCTCTAACCTGTCACTGACGTAGCCTCCAAGGACCTGAGTGAAGCAGTAGCCCCAGAAGAAGCTGCCCAGCACCATGCCCGTCTCTCTCTTGGACCAGCTGAAGCGCTCCGCCATGCTCACGGCACAGATAGGCATGGCCACACGCGCACAGTAGAGCAGGCATGTCCCCAGCAGCAGAACCACTGTCCAGATCCTCGCTACTGGCCTGTGGACATGAAGATACAATATATGACACAAGTAGCCTTTAAATTATTGTTTAATTAAATTTTTACACCAAACAAGATTCACTGGAGGAATCACACAGGCCAAATCACACAAATTCAGTTTACGCTCTGGCAGGTAGTTTGATGTAGGTTCATTTGTTTCAGATGCACTGATTCACTATGTTTTTATTCTATTTACAAATTTAACAAGGTTTATTTGAATCATCTGGCTTAGAAAATATTTTTCTCAGTACAAAAAAAAAAGTCTTGTTTAGTGTTAAAATTACAAATTACAATTTTTAAACATGATTAAAAGACACACTACACGTCATTTGGTGTACAAATACTTCATATACCACAAAATCAAAGAAAATGATACATCACAGTGCAGCCTCAAAATTATTTGTCATTTTATTTTTTATTATTTTTCCTTTGTCCTTTACACCAGTTTTGCCTGTTTGCAAGAAAAAAGCTTTTATTTTTGATCACGTTATAATCCCTGTTTAAAAATATGCAATGTGAGAATTAGTATAACTTTTCATTTTTACACTGTAAAAGGCAACAGTCAACTTTATCAAATGAAATGAGTGCAGTTAACTCCAAATTTGACTGAAAGTTAATTTTACTCATTTGAAAAGAGTTTTGAACTCAGTGATGAAGGTAATGGAGTTAATTAAATACCTCATTACTTCACCTTAAATGAGGTAAGTTCACAGTACTAATATAGATTCGTTTTTAAACTCAAATGGTTTGTAGCAATCGGTTTTCTCAAACGGTTTGAATTGCCTTAACTTATTGGGTTTTTACAGTACTCAGTTGGTTTGAGTTCTCTTCATTTATTGGGTTTTACTGTGCTCAAATTGCTTCATTTACTCAAATGGATTAAGTTTAAAGTACTCATTAGGCTTAGTTTTTGAACTTAAATGGTTTGATGCAATCGGTTACCTCAAATGGCTTGTTACTTTAACATTTTGGGTTTTACAGTGTACTGAAAATCAGTTACACTGAAAGACAATAGACTATTATTTCACCTTTATTTTGGGTTTCTATTATTTATTTTTTATACAAAAGTTAAGTTAAAACATTAAACTAGACAATTTACTTCCATTTAATAGACATTATGTAGTTATGAAATAACGTTTGTACACGTCATTTTATGTTGACACCGCACTAGGTGGTCTCATCATTGACCATGCATGTATAGCAAAGGAGACGTGGATTTTATGGCTTTTTTATAAAATAAATAATACTTCAATAATGGTCAATAAAATACTTTATAAAGCGTTTAGTGATTAGTTATGCATCTACAAAAGAATAACTAACATGTTTGATAAACTGAAAAGTTATAAGAGCGAAATTAATAATACCAAGACAAATTTAAAACATTAAATGATGTCCAAGAATACAGCGGATTCATATATTTTTGTAAAAATATTAATATATAATGCAGCATATTTACAGAACTTCATAATCATAATAAACTACTTAATTATGTGCATTATTTGGATGAAAGTTTGGTGAGGTGGTCTCACCTTGTCCAGTTCTGACTTGACTCTGTCCACTTCTTCTGTGATCCGGCTGCTCCGATATTATCTGCGGGGTTTTCCTTAATACTGGACAAATCTGGACAAGAGTTCTTTCCATGTTTTTGTAGAACTGCCATTCAACGACATATATATATCCTTCCCCGCGTCCCTCAGCGTGTGTGTCCTCTCGGGTCAGTCTGTGCGAGCGTGACAGGCAAAAAAGCAAAGCAATGAAAAAAAGATGTTTCTGTCGGAGTTTGTTGGCGGAAGCATCTCCTCACAGCTGCTCTGCCGCATCCATAGCGCTCCGGCGACGGCCACACACGAGCAGGCTTTCGGCTTTCGCAACTGCAGCGAGGAGAAAATCAGCCTTTTCCTGATTCCTAAAGTGTTGATGATCATCCACGTGTCAGTTTCTTTTTTCAGCCACGCAGTTCCTCCAACCACTGGCGCCTCAAACCAGGAAGTAACGTGACTCAGCCCCTTTCACTCGCTCACAACAACACTGTCAGACAGAATTTCGTCTGGATAAATATCTCTGAACGTAATATGCGATTTGTTTTTCATGCGGAATGTGAGCGGATACGTTTAGTTATTAAACATAATTAAACGACTGATGAGAGGCAAATTCATTAGATTAATGTGGTACTGACTCGTTAGCCCGAATCGGTTCTTTTGAACACTCGTTTAAAATAAGTCTGCTCACAAAAATGCAAAAATGTATTACGTCAAATTGCGTAATGACTTATCTTAGTGTGGCATATAAAACCAAAAAGTGCATTATTATTGGATTTTTTAACTGTAACGAAAAAAAGAGAAGCTTGTTAATCTTTAGGTAATATTCACCAAGTACCATATTCACAGATGAAACTTGCAATAACCAAAAACCATTTCATCCTGCAACACTAAAGAAATTCAAACATTATACCAACAACGTAAATCCAAGCACTAATTTAACCCGTTTTTTACTTGAAACCTTTTACTTTAAACCGTTTTTTACTTGAAACCTTCAAGATCCAGCAATCCCACAAGGCCCTTATCATTTTTCGGTATGTTTATTTACACAAATATTTGTTTGTCTTTTGTTTTTTGCACACCCCTGAGCCCTTTTTCCATTTTTGTATTTTAATTGTTCTGTACTTTGTTCTTTAAGCATTAATACAAAAAAAATACATAAAATAAAATAAAATAAAGTGTTAGGAAATGACTGGAGAAAAGCATTAAATTTGAAGTAATCAAACATTTTGAGCAAACTTAATGCACACAATAAACAAAAAAACACATATAATGTTAAATTTAGTGCAAAAAAAATCAACAACTTAATAACATGAAATAAATGTAAAATAAACGATAATTAATAAGAGCTTAATTAGAAAAACCTATTTGTACATATATAGTACTATAGTTTGTATTGAAATATAATGAAGGTCAAAACAAACAAAATACTTTCCCAATATTATTGGACTCCTATATGCTGCAAAAAATGCTTTTATTACTTAGAGTTTTTGTCTTGTCTTAAATCAAGCAACATTTTCTAGACAAGTAATTAACATTGTGTCTTGTTTTAAGGAATGATATATCAAAACTAATAGAGTTTTTACTTAAAACAAACACAATAATCTACCAATAGGGTAAGCAAAATAATCTAGTTTTTCCTTCTGGCTTAAGTTTATTTTGCTTACCCCATTGGCCGATTATTGTGCTTGTTTTAAGTAAAAACTCACTTAATTTATGGCATATTATTTTTAAAACAAGACAATATGTTTTGCTTGTCTAGAAAATGCTTCTCGATTTAAGAATTTTTAGACCTTTGAACTAGAAAGTAAGTAATAAAAATCTAAGTAAGAAACAGATTTTTTGCAGTGTTTAACTTTTACATTTTTACAGGATACACTACATCTTATTTACATGTTAAAATGTGGCTCACTCACAAATTGTGATCATATTTGGCCGTCTGTTGCATGCAAAGGTTTGCTCTAATAAGGTTTGATGCAGTTTTCTATTACCAAACGTGTATATTTCTGTATTCTGGTTGCTGCTTTTATGTGTCAGCTCATATAAACATTATTTAGATGATAAATATAACTTTCTTTATATTTAAAAAGGCTCAAATTTAAGAACAACCCTTAATAACAGATGATATCAGAATTTTCATTTCAATTAGCCAATTAAATTAAAACTGCAAAGACCAATTCAGTCTGACGAACACAGAGTGACTCTTTTGGACTTGCTTTGTGAATCGACTCTTCTGATTCATTGCAAAGATCTGACATGTGGAATTGCTTTCATCAATTAAATATTTCTATATTACATGATACTTTACCTGGACAATGTAACATAGCTAAATAAATCAAATTTAACAAGGCAAAGTCCAAGGTTAGCCAACCGAAAACATTTATCATAAACAGGAACTGGGTGGCTTTTATTTACCATATTAATGTGCCAAAATAAAAACACCCCTCTGCAACATTGAATTGAGCATCACAGCAGAAGTATTTGGCCATAGCATTCGACAACAGCAGCACTTTTCAAAGTCAAAGAGTTTGGGGATTTAAAAAAGAAACGATTATTTAATACCCATGTAAAGCGTCTGACCTCAGAAGCTTACAATTTGATCTCTGCAATATCTATAAATCACAATTGAATGTCAATGTAAGCAGGAATACTATGACAATATACAGTAGAAAACAATGTCACGTGACTTTATAACATTATAATGCAATAACATTAGTACTCAAACAAAAAGGGCAGCTTTTCTTTGACGGGGCCCTTTAACACGCATACAAAATGTATACTTGTGCACTGCAAATAAAAGTTGTGAAAGCACACAGAACTGGCTTTCTCTGTATCAGTACAATCAGTCCACCGTCCTTGATGACACCACTACTGTGCCTTGGGTACCTCACTTCAGTGGACACTCTCAGCTAAATCTAAATAGTGTGGTTCAGTCCTCAGCTAGAGTTGTAGACTTTCTGAACATTCACCGACCCAAAATAGATAATCATTCTCTGCAAAAAAAAAAAAAAAGAGGCTAAAATGCAATCAATTCAGCTCAGCAAGTCAAACATTGTGGTAACAAAAATCACAGAACTCCTCCTGCGATTAAAAAGGGTTTCCATTTTGGCTAGAAGTCATCCTTAAATCTCATTTCCGCAGCCCATTTAATGCAAAGTCTCTGATAAGCGACAAGTAAACGAAACAAAATGTTGATAAAAGGATGTTTTGAGTGTCAGTCACTGTGTATAAATAGTTAAGGAAAGGGAAAGAGTCTGTTTTGTTCCCCCGCAGAATGCAAGCATAGAGATGCCGGGTGTTTGTTTATTCACTTGGGGTCCTCGATGGTACCTTTGCTAAGGTCTGTCATTTTGGGGTACTTGACTTTCTTCTGGTCCAACTCGTTCTGAGCCCACAGCAGCAGTTTGAGGAGTTTGGCCAATTTGGGTGTCGACTCTCTGTTTTCGTAGTCCAGCACCGCCTGGTTGACCTCACTCCACACCTGGTACACAAGACCACATGATGTCTGTCAGTTACTGGCAGATTGAAGGATTAATGGACTTCATTACCCTCTACAAATATCACCACTTGCATAAAATGGCTGAAATGTGGTTTGCTTATAAATCTTGTAGAGAAAACAAGGGATATCAGCAGAAAAAGAAAGTTGGGAAACTTTAGAATAATGGTCCATTCATTAATGTTAGTTAATATATTAATGAATGTTAGTTAATGTATTTATTAGACATGGGCGGATATAAGTTTCTGACAGTATGATGACCTTGGATAAAAATATCACGGTTTCACAGTACACCGGTTTTGTGATTACTGCTCTAAAATAAGTTCTTTTTAAATGTCTGGGTAAAAATAATAATAATTTTCCCTCCCTGAAGTTGTGCTTGTTAACATTAATTAATGCACTGCGAGTTTGCATGAACTAACGTTATTAAATTTAAACAACATGAACAATGATGAATAAATACTGTAATAAATGTATCACTAGTTGTTTGTTTATGTTCGTAAATACATTCACTAATGGACCATTATCTTAAAGTGATACCAAAAATTGTCTAGAAGGAAAAGGAATTTTCCTAAAAAATATTGAATTTGAGCTGATAAATGTAAAAGTAACACAGGGAATGTACATTAAGTGCATGCGTTTAATTTCAAATTCACAATATTGTTTGTTCGGGTTTTTATTAACTTTCCAAAGTACCTTACAATTCTGAGGAACAACAAACATACTACTTTCCCCCCAACAAGAACTAAAGGAATAGTTTAGCTAAATTTGAAAATTCTGTATTCACTTACTTTCCCTTCATATATTTCCTCAAAAAATCTTATTAGATTCAGCAGAAAAAAAGAACTCAAAGGTTTGTAACCTTTCAAGAGCAAAAAAGTAGTGGGAAAATGTAGTTTTTTCAATGAGCTTTGCATTCAAATTGATCAAAATGTGAAATTAAAGACTTCTGATTGTAACAAAATATTTTCCGAATAAATCTTTACATCTTATTTATTTTAAAAATATTCTTTTAAATGTTTTTTTAACATTAATAAGATATATTGCCTGAACAGCAAACATTTGCATATTAAAAATTTATTCTTCAGGAGGTGACTGAAGTTATAATGCATAAATATATAATGCTGCTCAGCTTTAACATTAAAGGAATGCGTTATAATTAGGCCCACACGGAATCTGCGCGCACAGAATTCAGCTGATTTTTAGCCCATCCTTGATTCTGTTTATTTACTTGTGTAAATGTGTGTAAATTCATATTTATTCAGTTTTCAAATTAATTTCAGTAGTATTATTGACTAATTAGAAAATATTTATATAATCTATTTAAATACAATTTGTAAAGTAATATTTTCTGTCTTTTAGTAGATATATTATATGAGAGACTTGCTTTGTTTACCAAATAAAGTGGATCTAATTGGATTTGCATTGTAAACATTAAATAAAAGTTAAAAAAGGTATTACTTTTTATTTTATATATTAAGGTTTTAGTTACGATACTGCCAAAATCATTCTGCATAAATTCGCAGATTTTTACAAAAATTCTGCTCAAAAATAGCAAAAAATGTCCGCAGATTCCGTCTGGCCCAAGTTATAATTTAATCTATACTATAACAGAAAACATTTTAGTGAACTTTTACATTTTAATAAACGCCACAAAATATGCTGGAACAAACCAAGAATGGGTGTAACTGAAATCCTTATTTTACCAACCAGAGACATTTAGTTTCCAAAGCAAAATGGAATTAAAGCCAAATGATCAGCCACATTTGCAATAGACTGTTGGGCAGATATTAAGTTCATACCCTGCTTATAAAAATAACTACATTAAATAAAAATTATTAATTAAATTAATAAATAATAATATTCAATAGGGGTGTCACGATTTCGATTTTTAATCGAAATCGATCTAAATTTATGCTCAATTTCGATTATCGAATCAAAAAATAGAATCGTCGATGCTGCCACGCCCCCATGTCAGCTTGGCTTGCCAAGCGGGAAAAAAACAGGCTTGTTGAAGTGCTTGTTAAACTGCAGAAGCAGGAGACCCGTCGAGAGAACTTAAACCCTCTCCTCTTTCAATGAAGTCGCCGGTGTTTAAGCATTTTGGATTTCCAGTGAGTTATGTTGACATTGTTCGTGTTGTCGACAAAAAAAAACACAGTTTTGCAAGCTCTGCTATGTACATATTACGCACAGTTCGTCCGATAGACAACACCGGCATCGCGATCCTCCGCCCGCCCCCGTTGCAAATCCGCTTGCGAAAAGTACACACTCAGGCCCTGTTTACACTGTCTTTGTTTTTAAATGGCATTTTAGAACGACAACAATTTGATATCCACAGTGGCGTGTAGCATTTCTGAGCAGCCCTCCTTCCTCTCTGCCTCTGAAAAGGCACATCACGTGACCACACAGACACAGATGCACACAGCCATGCGCTCGAGACAGCAGGTCCAGGCAGTCAGAGGACTGCTTCAATCTTTCACTCACTTGTACTTAGTCCTTTTAGCGAACACCTCAGATACTGTTGGCTGGTTCCTGTTGGTTGTGCGTCTTTTTTACCGATGCCATTATAACGACACAGATCACTGCCTAATCACGAGTCCCGCAGAAAAAGTGATTGACAGGTGGTAATTATGTGTGTATCTTGCCTTTATTCATTTACTGTATGATTTGTTTATGGGTAAAACAAAGATTATGCAGGTCAGGTAGTTTAAACGGTAGGCTACGAATAATTAATTGATCATTAATTAATTAATTATTCATAATCGAAAATCGAATCGTGACTTTAGAATCGAAAATGTAAACGAATCGAGGATTTGGAGGATCGTGACACCCTTCAATAAATGAGAAGGAAAGTTACCTTCTGTCTCTGCATCATGTTAAGCAGATCCCCAAAGGGCGACTCTTCTGGGTTATCGAAGGCCAGGAGGGCGAGTGTGCGCTCCATCTCAGTCAGACACTCCCGGCTCTCCTCTCCCTGTTCAGCCAGCTGCGTCTGTGCAAACTCCAGTGCAGCCTCCGTTTCCCGCAGACGGATCAACTCGATCAGGTGTTGTTGCTATAGAATGAAAGCAGATCAACTTAACTGTTGTAATTATCAAATCATTAACTTGTGATTCAACATCAGACATCAGTCATTAAAAAAATAAATAAAAATTACACAAGAAATCAACATTTTACTCAAAACTGAACATGTACTTTTTGTTTACTCTTTCCAAGTGGTTCCAAACTTTTTTCCTCAGTTGAAAACAAAATAACATATTTTGAAGAAAGCTGAAAACATGCAACCGTTGACTTAAATAGTGGGAAAAACAAATACCATGGAAGACGGTGGTTTCAGCTTTCTTTAAAATATCTTCTTTTGTGTTCAACAGAAGAAAGAAACTCAAACAAGTTTGGAAAACGTAAAGGGTGAGTAAATTGATGCCAGAATTTTCAGTTAGGGTGATGTTGATGATGATTTTTTTGATGCCCTGACAGCAACAAAGGCTGTTTTCATGGCAATAACTTTTCAGTAATACATATACAATTAAAAACAACAAACAAATGAATACATGAATCAAATAAGCTTTTTAGCGTTATTAAATGATAAAAACATTTTCCTGGTGTCACTTTGCTAAAAATGTAATTACATAAAAAATCCTGCAATTATTAAAAGCAGGACAGTCCAGTAGAATATGTTTTTCAGCTTTGGGTGAACTATCCTTTTAACAGCAGATTATAAAACCAAAATCAAAAAAAGATCAACTTATTTACAGTAGATATTAGTTAAACATATTCATAAAGTCATGTAAACAGTTTGATTTGCTTTTATTGGTTTGATAACATTTTTATATTCGTAGAGTAGCTTCAGTGTTTAGATACTCAAATATTTCTTAAACCATATATTTTTTAAACCTAATATATATATATATATATATATATATATATATATATATATATATATATATATATATATATATATATATATATATATATATATATATATATATATATATTAGGGGTGTCACGATTTCGATTTTTAATCGAAATCGATCGAAATTTATGCTCAATTTCGATAATCAAATCAAAAAATAGAATAGTCGATGTTGCCACGCCCCCATGTCACGTCAGCTTGGCTTGCCAAGCGGGAAAAAAACAGGCTTGTTGAAGTGCTTGTTAAACTGCAGAAGCAGGAGACCCGTCGAGAGAACTTAAACCCTCTCCTCTTTCAATGAAGTCACCGGTGTGTAAGCATTTTGGATTTCCAGTGAGTTATGTTGACAACGTTTGTGTTGTCGACAAAAAAAAAACACAGTTTTGCAAGCTCTGCTATGTACGTATTAGGTACGGTTCGTCCGATAGACAACACCGGCATCGCGATCCTCCGCCCGCCCCCGTTGCAAATCCGCTCGCGAAAAGTACACACTCAGGCCCTGTTTACACTGTCTTTGTTTTTAAATGGCATTTTAGAACGACAACGATTTGACATCCACAGTGGCGTGTAGCATTTCTGAGCAGCCCTCCTTCCTCTCTACCTCTGAAAATGCACATCACAAGACCACAAAGACACAGACGCTTACACAGCCATGCGCTCGAGACAGCAGGTCCAGGCAGTCAGAGGACTGCTTCAATATTTCACTCACTTGTACTTAGTCCTTTTAGCGAACACCTCAGATACTGTTGGCTGGTTCCTGTTGGTTGTGCGTCTTTTTTACCGATGCCATTATAACGACACAGATCACTGCCTAATCACGAGTGCCTCAGAAAAAAGTGATTGACAGGTGGTAATTATGTGTGTATCTTGCCTTTATTCATTTACTGTATGATTTGTTTATGGGTAAAACAAAGATTATGCAGGTCAGGTAGTTTAAACGGTAGGCTACAAATAATTAATTGGTCATTAATTAATTAATTATTCATAATCGAAAATCGAATCGAATCGTGACTTTAGAATCGAAAATGTAATCGAATCGAGAATTTGAAGGATCGTGACACCCTTAATATATATATATATATATATATATATATATATATATATATATATATATATATATATAAGAGAGAGAGAGAGAGAGAGAGAGAGAGAGAGAAAATGTAATGTACAACAAACGCATGTTAGTCAATAATATGCTTTACCTGATGATCAAAGTACTCATTTGTCATCAAGAATTTTTGATAATTAAAAAAAAATATATATAGATAATAATTTATTCTTTTAAGTATTTTATTAAGTATATGTCAGGAAATAAATATGTTGTTTCATTAAATATATCTGTTACAGAAAAGAAGAAAATTTTACCTGTTTTTAACTTTTCACAAAAGTTATTCAACCCCCTTAACCAGGGGCGTTGCTAGACCCCATTTACTGGGGTACGTGCCCCAGTAAAAATCATCAGTGCCCTAATAAATGCTTTGAGATAAGATTTTCTTTATATGCAAGTGTATTTATTAAGAGTGGTAATTCCAGAATAAAGACGTTAATCTCTATGTGCAACCGAACCAACGCTGATGACAGTAATGTAGTTTACTCATAAACAAAACTGAGCATGTGCACAGAAAAATAAAAACATACCCGCGTGCCTGACACTGCTCTGCTTCCGATGTAAGTCCCGGTTGTGAACATGCACGCCGAAAAAATAGCTGCACTGCTCACACGCTGCTTATGCCTTGTGAAACCGCAACAGTCTTTTATGTCCGCACGCAGTGAGTTTTGCAAGTCGACAAAACTAAAGTTTAAACAATATGATGGTGGTCTTATTTAAACTAAGCATGGCTCCTGATTGATTTTTTGTTTGAAGCAAAAGGAGGGATGATGAGTCAGGGAGGTAAGACTTAATAAAAATTATTCTCAATCAGTCGGGTCTAAGACAACACACAACTGATAATTCTATTAATCATCTTTTTTGTATGCTTTAGAATTGTCTAGAGAATTTTATTCAAATGAAAATTATATTCATGCAATAAAAAGTAAAAAAAAAAATAAATAAATTATATTCATGCAGAAGATTTTTTAAATTATCTTAACATCACTCCAGTTGTGTCTTTTAGATTGTTTTCCAGTTAAATGTAGGATTAATTTCTGTAATTTATTTAAGAGTAATAATTGTATGACGACAATAACACTGTTGTTATTTATATATGCTATATATATGTATATATAGGCCCGTAGCCAGGGGGGGTTTGGGTGGTTCGAAAGACCCCTTCTGACAAAGTCCAGAATTTGGCCCCTACATGAGCTCATTTGTCCCATTTTTGACAGTATGCCATGACAGATTGTGAAAATAACCAATCGAAGAAGACTTTTATTATTTAAACGGTCAAATTCTGACTGATGAAATGAGCTGGCCAATTTATTTACCTATAGGCTACAGTTTTTAATTTAAAATATTTTTTTGTTGTTTTTTAATTTATGATGGATGATAATAAATTTGCATTTAAAATAAGATTTTTTTTCTTCTAAAATTCTGATATCATTACATTAGATATAAAACGAAAATAACTTTTAATTAAACAAGTTTCTGTAAATAAAAAAAAATAGTATGATAAGCACTTTGACAAACATGTAGAAAGTGTTTTTGCTACATCAAAATGTGTGGTATGATGATAAACATCCTACAAGCTAATATAGCACAAAATAGTACTTAAAATGTCACTTAAATGCAGCATTTAAACCTAAAATATCTGAAAAAAGAACCACCCCTTTTAATAGGCTGGCTACTAACTTTATGTCTAGCAACTCTTCTACCCTTAACTATGGCCATCCTGTACTCAGAACATTTTTTCAGTACATTAATTCTAAACATAAACTTATCTTCACCTACTATGTAAAATATGCATTTATTATCATTTTCAAGTGCGAATTCCAAATGTGGGGTGACGTGTTAAAAGGGGTTTAAGGGGTTAAACACTTTATTGTCAAAAGCATTTGGACTCAAGCCACATTTAATCCACACAGTTAAATGTTACTAAAATTACATGATGTTTTGGTTGGCGGATTTTAGATTCTGAATGATGCAATAAAATTACATTGTTCAAAATAAAGACAAATGTATGCAGAGCTTTATTTTTAGACATTATTTAAATACACATTTGTAATGTAACTTGTTCTATATCTATATCTGTTATACATTTGTTTACACTTTATTTTCACCAATGGGGAAATTTGTCTTGAACCCTAGGCCCACTTTTGCATACACTGAACAAAAATAGACAACACAAACATTCAATCATCTATACAAATACTACAATTATTCACTCATAAAGGTGCTTGAGTGTATAGCTACTCCTATTATTTTCCCATACAATTCATTGAACATATGTAATATTTGAACTATGGTTATTATTCAATAATCTGCTTTACCTGAAGATGAAAGTACAGGTAGCGATTAGTGTCCAGCAGCTCAGGATGCAGACTGTTGATCAGTGCAATGGCCTCTTGAATTTGTCCCTTCAGGACCATCTCCCTTATTTTTATCCTTTCATCCAAAGAGTCCAGATCAACACTAGGCTCAATGCCCGATTCCATCCTGAACTTCTCGGCTGCCTCTTTAAACCCCTCTATGCACATAAAAAAAGAAGCAAAGAAATTAGGAAAACAGATCTACTGACACTTTTCACGCAGCTGCAGTAGAACGTAAATAAAAGAGAATGTTCAATTGACTGCCAACCTGTCACAAGATAATTCATGATGAGTCGATTCATGTCTGCCCGCTGAATGTGAACATTATTGAGCTTTTCCATCCACTCGTCTCGTGTTATGTCCTCTGGCTTTTCAGCATAACTCATCATGAAGTGTTCTGCTTATACAAAAAAAAAGGAATAGAAAATAAACAGGTCAAAGATAAAAATTAAGTTTCAACCATCAAAACAGCAACTGTTAGTAGCATGTGTTGTTTCATTATCTTTTTTTCTGAGCAACATAATAATGACTAGCATGTAAATCACTTTAACAATATTTACAAAAGAAACCTGATAAAAGCTAATATGTAATTCAGTGTAACAATTTAATTCAATTCAATTCAGCTTTATTTGTATAGCGCTTTTACAATGTAGATTGTGTCAAAGCAGCTTCACATAAATGGTCATAGTAACTGGATCTGGGTAGTTCAGTTTTAGTGTTTAAGTTCAGTTCAGTTTAGCTCAGTTCAGTGTGGTTTGAAATCATTACTGAGAGTCCAAACACTCAAGAGCAAATTATCGATGAGTAGCTTTTCAGATCCTGAACCATGCAAGCCAGTGGCAACAGCTTATGTACCAATTAATCTTGTCAGACATATTCAAACAGAAATTATTTAATGACATATAAAAGAAAATAATTAAAAATGTACTATTTTAGAACTTATATGTTGGCATTATCACTCAAACCTAAGTTAAAGATTCTAATGGCATTGTAACCTTAAATTAAAACATCACGCTTTCACAGAATTGTGATCACTACTCTAAAATATGTTCTTTTTAAATGTCTGGGTGAAAAAAAACTAAAGCTTTATTTCCCCTTTGAATTGAATATGTTTTATTTTGAGAAACTAATAAAATATTTTGGAACATTAAAAACATGTCAGGCTAAATAATTAAAATGAATCTGTTTTCATTACTTTCAAAAACACTGATTACTTCACAATTTAAACAGCATCTTTAAAGATATTTTCTGCTGGAGATACTGTTGTCATAAAAAAAATAATAATAATAAATAAATAAATAAATCTTACACATACCTTTGGAACAGTATAGCAGAAAATCTTGAAGATTTTAAAACCTTGACTTTTCCAAACCGCTGTAAACCTTGAAAACGGTTATCATTCCATGTCTACTCAAACCACTAGTTTTTACCAATTAAATGTTTTTGGGTTTTTTTAACAATTATAAAACTTGGTATTATTGTTTATTCTTATATTTACACATTTACTTAATTTGTAACCCAGCACAGATCAGCAGAAGTATATCGTTTCATTTTTAAATAAATATAGGTTACATTGAATGACAATGTTCTATTATTTAACTCATATTTTGGCATGATATTTGAAACATTAAAGTGCACAATTAACTTGCATATATTATAATTCTCATGTGTATAAATAAATTTTTGTCTATTTACATTGATGCAAAAACCAAAATGAGACTCCTCATATTTGACTTGCACGCATACATGCTTGATTAGAGTACAGATTCAGCTATTAAGTACACAGAATACGCTTTAGACAACATTTGTTTATACTACTTTTTATAAATCCAGCTATACTCTTCATTTAAGTTAAACAACGGAGTCAAATTAAATTATTTAATCAATGTCTGCGAAATAAACGCTTGATTTAAACATATTACTCTTTCACTTATGATTAATGTTAGCTATCAATTTATAAACATTGCAGAAATTGTAATAGAGAGCTAGCTAGGACACGAATACAGCAGCCTACAGAAAAACGATAACCGACCAACGAATAAACACCGAGAAAACACAAATCGAGAATGCTGCAAAGGCCAAGTTAGATGTCATTTGCGCTTAAGATGACCGGAAGCTCTAATTATAAAGGCCTGCATCATAACATTGAAGCCTGTGCCGCTGGAGAGAAGCCCACAACAGATTTAATAACGAACGAAACATTTAAAAACATGACGATTACTGAAGACATACATCCACCAAGCATTTACGCAGTAAGACTCGCTGTCGACAGTTAGAACGATTCGTAGATTAAGCAAAAATGTTGAATTGTACCTGAATGTGTACACTTTCCTCACCAGCACCTCGGGGAGAAAGGCCGTACTAAACTCTCGCGATGATGTCTAGGGTAAACGAGATTTCAATGATACGTTGACTGGATTGGCTGACGACCAAATGTTTTTAAATTGGGATAAAAGTATTTGGCTCCTGAAATTGTTGAATACGATTCAGATTTTGTCATATTAATTAAATATTTTGTTAGCTGTACATTTTATTTTTTCATTTAAAAAAGCCTTACCGTTATATTGCTACATCATGACTTGTTCTCAATCACTCTGACAATTAAAACACAACCGCACTTCGCTCGATCCTTACATTTTCATAAAATGTACCCGTTTGATCCATTGATTTGATCTGGGCATTCGTCACGATAACGGCTTCCCTCTTTGGTTTCCGCCCATTTTCCTTTCTAGATCGTCCGTGACGTCATCGCACGACTCCCATTGAGTGGAGACACTGATCATAAGACCAGGACGCGTATAATCGAGCACCGTGTGTGTATTTCCCTGTTTCCGAAGGCCATTTAACCATATAGGAAAGCATTTCAGAAGAACCGAAGATCTGCACACGACCTGCGTTTCTCTCTTTGACGGTAAGAAATGAAAACGCAGCCTGAAGAAAATCCTATCTGTGCGTCTCAATCCTGCCACACATGCGTGTTGCCCTTGCTCGTGGATTAGTACTGTTGTAGTAGGTTTTTGAGCGAAATAGCTTAATACTGACAAGTGAATCAGCATTAAAGGGGTAGTTCACCCTTGATTTAATATTTTGTCGTTTTTTTCTTCTTAACCTCGTGTCGTTTGAAATGGCTTTATTTACAGAATTGACATTTTGGAGATTGACAGCTTCAGTCGCCATGCACTTGAATTGTATTTTCTGTACACTTCCTTGCATTCTGCTGTTGTTGGGTTTCCTTCGTAAGCAGGAAACTCATAATCTCCTTCTGTGCATTCTAGGATTTATTAATGGTCGTATAATCTTTACATGTAGGTGAACTATCTCTTTAACCAGCAAACCAATATGGATGCTGAGCGCAGGGCAGGGAGATTAAAGGCTCTAAATCTCCAACCGGTCAGTCAACACGGAACCGTTTGGCCTCCATCGGTACTGAGCCTCTGCCCAGCATCCTGTCAGCGGTATTTGCGTTCATCCGTCATATTTGGGTTGCCGATGAATGTCAAACAAGGATTTGCTAATTATCATGGGCAAGACACTAGCAGTTGTTTGGCTTTCATGTTTTTCGAAAGAAAGGAAGTGAAATGTCGGGTCTTTCTGTGGTAATCTTGGTATCTACCTCTTTTAGAAGTAAATATAGGAAAGAAAAGGCATACACGGGCTGGGGTAATCTGGAAGTGAAGCGTTCAGATGCAAAAAAAAAAAACAAAAAAAAACTCTTAACTGTTACTTAAATGCTGTCTGAAAATTTCTTCTAAAATGAGCATATTTTCAGCCTTCTATGTATATGTTCAGTTATTTCACTTTAAAGGCAATGAAAAGAACTTATTTATTACTATAAAAGAAACAGAAGTCTTAGAAAAAGGCTAACTTTAGAACAAAATATCAAATGGCATTTAGAGGTTTTTTCATCTAAACTCTACATATATTTATAAATAAGCCTGCCATGGTGTTTTAGGAATGTGTCTTTTCATTTGATGATAATTTTCTAAATGTATGTATTTTTATTAAGCATTTAATGAGGAATCGCTGGTCATGTGAGTGCTGATTAGTGACTCATGATGCATAATAACCACTTGACTACTTTCGTTTTCTTATAGTTTATTATAAACTTCTCGTCAGCTATTGAGTAACTTTTCTTGATTGGAAATTTGACAGTGAAGTAATTTTGCAGTCTGGAATTTCAGTTGCCTCCATCGTTTACTCAAGTCCTTGTGTTTTTTCCAGAAGTTTTAAACTTGTGTTTTTCTGTGGAAGCTGAAAAATCTATTTCTGGAAAAAAAATTATATTATTATTATTATTGTTGTTGTTGTTGTATAGTACTTCATTTATTTAATTGATGCCTGTATTTTTATGTTATCTATTGCAAGCATGGATTAAAATTTGCATGGTACGACAATTGCTGCATGTTAAATATAAGTATACAGTCTTTAAAAATAGCAAACCTCAGCGTATCAGCAAACATCTCCAAAAATAGTAGCAGTAGCAGTTTTGAATAGTGAATTACTTTTTACAGTAACATTTTATATATATATATATATATATATATATATATATGTAAGAATCAGCTCTTTGGTTTAAATCATGTTTAAACTTTGGGGATTCGAATCAAAGATTCGAACATGATTCACATAGAATTATTTAAAGCTTACACTTAACTTTAGTATTTGTCCAGCAAATAGAACGTTTAGTGTAAAGCAATTCTGTATTATATTATTACGTGGCCAACAATAACAATATAAAAACAGTATCTAATTATTTAATGAGCAAGGTAGCAGTATCTGAAGCTGAGGCATTAACTTATAAAGCACACAACACACCAACACGGATCTTAAAACGAAACAAAAGTTTATTGCTACTCTATAACACAAAGTACTAATCTACGTAAAACAAACAAACGCACATACATACACACACGCACAAGCAGTTTGAGGAGAGTTTTGACTGAGTGGATTTAACTTCTAGCCTTTGCTAAGTTCTTAGCATTGCAACCTGAGAGAAACCATAAAAGCAGAGAATTTCGCTATTCTTTACTACTTAAACATAATTCACACCAGTGTCAGCAATGGATAGAAACCTTGTTTGTGCTACTTGCGTTCTGATGGAATATTGGTTTCATCGACTGGTCCAAAGGGAAATCCCGGCGAAGCTGATTGGTCAGCGTAGCAACTTCAGTGACGTGATGGAATTCCCTTGTCGGTGAAGAGGGGTTTCCTTAGTCGGTTGCTAGGGATACGGATGTTGGACAAGGCGGCGTTCGAAGTCCTTCCTGGGTTCCTGTAGTTATGATGAGTTTCAGAGTTTGGATGTGTTGACCCGATGGCTTGTTGTTGAAGCGGTTGCACAAGCAGATCGGGGGTCGAGCCGGCAGCAAGTGAAGGTCGCGGTCTGCTCCGTGATGTAACGAGGCTTCCGGCGAGGCGATGTAACGGCCACAGCACGAGAAGAGCGACGTCCGGGCAGCGACGGCGGTGACGACTGGCAAAGATGACCGGCAAAAGACGACGATGAAATTTCTTTGTTCAAAGTTTTATAGGCTTTGGTAGAGGCTGGGTCTACACAATGCTTGTCCAATCAGATAAGGTGCGGGGTGGAGTCACACCCCAATTCTGCCCTTTAGGAGGCCGGGTTGACACCTGGTGTGGGTGCTGCTTTGATAGCATAGTGGTTAAAATAAAGTCTTATAACGTCAACACTTTTCATAGTATGGTTTCTTCATATAAACCAATGCATTTAAAATGTTCCTAGCTTTCAATCGATACCAAACATAAAGTATTTCACAAACATTCTGTAGATTTCATTTGTCACTGAGGGCTATTACTCAAGAACTATCTATAACAGTTTTGTTAAACACATGGAACATGTACACACAAAAACCTACAGAAACATAAAGCAAACATACATTACTCAAATAAACTGTTTTACTTAAATGTCCATTAAACTTTGTAAGCGTTTCTGATCGCTTCTGTGTCTGCCTGAGAATGTGTATTCCTTGCAGACGCCAAAGGACAAGCGAACCAAAAGGTACTTCTCAAAAACCGGTTTGGTGGGTTTTGATTGTAGAGCCTCTTATTGTTTTAGGGTGTAAAGTTAATTAACACGCAACTGTGATGTTGACTGGCTAGGTATACTGTGGATTTGCCTTTTGCTGGGTGCCTGTGGATTGCTTTGAAAATGAAATCAATCTCAGACTCGTAGGCACCAACCAATCTTTTAAGGATAACATGGTCTGTGGCTTGTTCGGTTCTGGAACGATCCGTTGACTCACTACATATATATATATATATATATATATATATATATATATATATATGACAAAAACATGCTTTGTCATGTGACATAAGTTTTCTTTCTTAATACATCTCATTTCTCATTTTTATTCTCTGTGTCTGACGTGCGCAGTCTCCCACCTTATTCATCTTTTTTTGTCTAATGAATCTCAGTTCTGAATGCCACTGTGGGTTGGCTATCGTCTAAAGTGCTGTATAGCTCTGAGTGGTCCGTCTCTTTTAGAAGACCTGCTGAAAGCACCTTTGCGCACCATTAGCTAATTAACTGTGTAGTCTTGGAAGTTTTTTCTCTCCACTGCTTTGCCAGGATTTTTGACTGGAATGCTGACTAAACATACTAGACTACAAAAGACTAACAAACACTGTGTTGTCTGTATGAGACAGGTCTCGTACACTAGAACAGTAAATGAAGACATGCAGTCTCCTGCGTGTTTTAGTCCTGTTCAGTGGCCCTTATCAGATTTTTATTTTATCATTACTGTATTAAAATAACACAGAAGTACAGTTAAAACACACACATTATACTCTAAAAATTATCATTTGAGTAAAATATTCACACCTAAATTTAAAAATAAATAACCCAACTTAAACCCAACAGTCATTTTGTTTCTTATTTTACCCAAAATGTGCGTTAGCAAACATTGTAAATGCATTTGGAAGTGGCTCATTCATCATTCCAGAAAGCTGAATAAACTCCACAACAACTGCATCAAATAATCATCTGGAAACTTTCTGATTCAGTCTTACTGTGGTATTTTGACAGGCTTTCTGCTTCTCCTGTCTCTCAGTTTCTGGATGTCATTTGCTGTTTTGCTCTGACATCTGCCCGAAAACCTACTTCAAGTGGGCAGGGAGAACCAGCTTATTTGCATTTAAAAGCACAGACGCAAAACAGCCGCTCTGACTGGCACAAAAATTGACGTTTTCAATTATAAAAGATTCATAGTTTTTTTTCCCTGAAAATTTACAGACAAATCCTGGAGAGACTAATCTTATTTTACATCTTGTTTAAATGGTAAAATAAGGGTCCTTTAATTACTCAGCATTTTATGTTAAGCAACTGATATTTTTTGTCAACTGAAACAAAAGCATTCCACCTATGTTTTAGCATTCCTAATGGTTAGACTTTTAGACAAGACATGTTAGTGACTTTATTTGAGCTGTTCATACTTCAAAAGTTAAAGATTGATGAATACCATAACTGTTCTCACTAGAAACAATATGTTTAAAGATGTCAGTTAAATATTAATTTTATAGACTTGTGTATAATTTTGTGTAGACTCATTGCTGCCTCTTCAGTTTTTTTTGCAGCACAGGCTTATTGGAAATGTGTGCCTTGATGAATCAGCAAAAATGTGTTTTTAACATACATTTGCTTGCACTTTTTAGATAAATCCACCACTACTGGGCAGTGAAAACTATGTTCATGCAGTTCTAGTTTCCACGGCACCAAATTGCCACAAATAAATTTAAATGTGTCTATGATTTGTTATCGGCCATGGTTTGCTTCACCTGGTTATCTCCATATTGACAACAATTTTTCCTGTGGTCAGTTTGCTTGGCGGCTTACCTTGTACGTTGTTGATTTTGACTCTGGTTTTATTGCTTTTGTCTAACTGCCCCTTA